CTAGCATGGTTGGCTGCCTGGCAATGGCGCACCATGTGCGTGGATGCTTGTGTGCTAGCCTTCACATGGAAGCACCAAGCATCGCACCACATGCGAGAGCCTGGGCGCCAGCATGATGCTAGGCCTCGCACAAGCAGCCTCGCACAACAGGTGCATTGATGCGTGTGGGCTGGGAGGCATGTGTGTGTGCATGGTGCGAGGGACAGTGCGGCAAGCATGCGTGGCTCGCTAGCAGCACGCATGCTGGCTGTGCTAGCAATGAGGCGCGAAGAGTGTGCGTGTGTGCGTGGGTCTGCTGGGGGCCAGTGCCAGCACTAGGTGCTAGCAGCGCCCAGCGCCAGCACGTAGCACCAGCACAGCCCAGCAGCAGCGTGCACTGGCTGGCTGGCTGGGTGCTGGACAGCAAGGCACGCTAGCTGGAAGCCCCAGCTGGCAGCCAGCTAGCACACCTTGACCCGGTTTTGGGCATGGTGTGTGGGGACCAATTCATGGCCTTGGGGATCAAGGCAATGGCCCCCCCAAGCCTTGGTCCTCACTTGGCTTTCTCTATAATTGAGCCAAGTGTCGATTTGTGATTGAGTTGATTAATTATTTAATTTTGGAAATTAAATAATTGTCATTTTACCAACTCTCCCACATTGATGGGAGATTGAAAATCAAGGGGTCATTTCCCTATAAATACCAAGCTTGGTATTGGGATTTGATACAACCTTGAGTGGAATTAAAAAGGCAACTCTAAGAAAAGAGTAAACCTTTGATTCGTAAAACTCATAGTTTATTTTGTCCGGGTCTTGACTAACCTTCAAGACTTAGGACGCTCGGGTCGGGTCGAGTGTACGATCCGTCGGAGATCTCGTCTTTTCGGGATTTTGAAGTAAGAGAGCTCTTTGGGAGCGAAGCACGCGTCAAAGGTATAATTCTTGTCCTTAATCTTGTTTGATTAAGTTTATTATGCTTGTTTAATTGCTTTAATTAAGGGGCGGGTCTTGGTGGCTTTCCTTCCGCGTAGTGTCGGGTCACTACAAAACCCTACAATATTGATATTCAAAGTAAAACCCGATGCATCGCCCGGGCCACACACTAGTTCAATTATTAAAAGTAGGGACTCAATTCACATAGGAAACCACCAATACAGTCACAAAAGGGACTCAGGTCGTATAGGTCAACCTATTAGGCAAGCAGATAAGGGACTCAGTTCTCTCTAATAATAATGTCATATAGAACATATTCATAGGACAACCATCCATCCAATACCGTCAATAAGTAGACAGAAGTAACAGAGAAGATCATCATCCATCAATTACATTCCCTAATAACATACAGAAACAATAAGTAATCTAAGGCAATCAATCAACAACAATTAACCACCATACTTAGCTTCCAAACATGCCAAATCAGGAACTCAACACAGGGACTCATAAAATGAACTTATAATCACTAACATAAAATTAGGGTTAGATTATAGTTACGCTGCATAATCAGTTGTCAGGGAACATTTCTGGGTTGAACTCTTTCAGGTAAGCTAGATAATTTTCATCAACGTTGTCCATATCAATAGGGTACCTAGGTCGAACCCTTTTGTGTCCAGAAAGAGGACCCTTGCTCTGTTGCTTAGCAGGAGCAGATTTCAAGCTCAAGTTTAAGAGCAACTGCAGGGGTATCAACAGCGACAGGGGCCTTCCCTTTAGATTTGGGCCTAAGACAAGATAATCAGCCTTCGCAACAACTTCTTTGCCCAGATCTGGCTCACCGACTTTGCCCGCTTTGACTTCCTTGCCTAGATCTGGCTCACCAACCTTCTCCGCTTCAACTTCCTTGCCCAGTTTTGCTTTACCAAATCTCTCCTCCTCATTTGAGTTGTACTCAGACAGCTTAGCACTGCTGCTTTTGATGAATCTCCTCTAGTGCAAAGAGTGCAACGAACTTGTTTCATTATACCAGTTCCTCGTTCGCACCTGTAGCGGCTGGTACCCAGCAGGTGGATCCTCGTACTCTTGTTTCCCAACACTCAGATTCTCATAACAAAATAGATCAGAAGATTTTTCATTTGGGGAATGATAAGTCTATATTATATATATTTTTTTATTCCCCGTCCCACGGTCATATTTGTGCTTATTTGAGCTCTACGGAGCTATTTTTATTACTAATATACGTTTTCTAGTGTTTTTGTAAAGTTGGTATTATTTTGTAGGAATTTGCAGATATTATGATAATTCCCGAGCTTATTGTGCCACTACGAAGATATTGGAGTTTGATTGTATTTTATGACCGTATATCTAAAGCCCAAGATCGAGCACATTAAATTAGGTTCGGTAATTAAGGGCTCGATTAAGTGAAAGAGGTCTCAAAAATTCCCGCAAGAAATACGGATCAATAATTGAGAACCAAGTCAGGTTAACGAAGCCCAGCTTGCTGCGAAGTTGGTCGTGGGATGCAAGTGTAATGATTGGGCTGCTGCAGTTTAGTTTGGGCCCAATTATTTCATGAGTTTGATTTTGTTGGATTTTGATGTAATTGGAGTCTTAGTGGGATTAGTCTTCCTTAAATATAAATAGGAGGTAGTAGTACCGTAGGTCAAAGAAAAGAGGGAGGTAGGCTTCCCATTATCTTTTTTTAGTTCTTTATTTTTTTTACGTAGCTTTTGATTAGTTTTAGTTTTTGGAGATTATTAGTTTTAGATTAGTTTTAGTTTAACTTTTGTTTTCTTTTCTTTTTCTTATCAAGTTTTCTTATTATTATTTAGTTTTAATATTATTTCTTTGTTTTCTCTTTAGTTTAATTATTTTGATATTAGTTTATAATTATTGTTTTAGTCATGCTTTCTTTATATGCTTTGCTTAGTTTAGATTTAATTATGTGCGAGTAGTTTATTTATAGGGTTGTGGGGATCCATAAATAATACGAAGGGGTAAATTATTATTGTTAATTATTAATGATTGATTAATTTCTTATTGATTGATTTAATACTATGCAATTAGATTTGCGCAGGTTTAATTGTATGAGTTTTGCAATATTGATTCGAGATTCGAGAGATGAGAATTGATGTTTAGGCTTAGTTTCAATAGGCATGTTAATCTATAAATGGTTAGGTCAAGATTCGAGAGATGCGATTTAATACCGGTAGATTAATTATGTGATTATAATACGTGGCGAAAGCCCTTTATAATCTGATTAATTTATGCATTGATGATTGATTGTTATTTTTACTCTGGAGTATTATTTATTGGTGAAGCTAGACCCTAGACCTTTTGGTATTGATTATTCCCTTATTTTATTTGCTTAGCTTAATTATTAGTATAATTCACACATTACAAATTGGTTACTCTATAATTTATATTATAATAATTAATTAGGAGTAAAAGAACATTGTTTCCCTGTGGATTCGACCCTACTTCCCTATCTACTGTAGTTAGAGGACTTATGAATTATTTTGATTAGGTGATACGACTAGAGCCTGTCAGGGAACTCATAATTTTGGAGGAACGTGTGAAGATCTGAGAAACAAGAAGTTCGAATTTGAAGCAGAGAGGGAAGAGAAGTTGAGGAGAGTGGTAGAAGAGTGTGGAAAGCGAGTAGTGGGGTGTTGGTGACAGATCTAGGTTAGGGTTTGAAGCCATGGAGTTAATGCAGGTGGTTGAAGGTTGAAGGTTGCAATGAATAATGCAGGTGAGAAGTTGAATCAATTTGGGGGATGTCAGATTAAAAGAAAATGAGTAGGAAGTGGGATCTGATATTTTTTGTGTGAATGGTTAGAAAGTAATATTAAATTAGGATTTTAATTGATTTTAGTTCAATGTATAAGTATATCTTAATCAATTTATAATAAGGGTAGTTTGGTAATTTTGGTATAAAAAACTTACCAAAAAAAGAAAGAAATTTTTTTGTTGCAATTAATGCTTAGCGTCCATTTATACTAATTGTTGCAATTAACAATTAACGGAGGAAGTAAATAAAAGAGAGTTACATTTTATTCTTCTCCTTGCCCTTTGTTTAAGTCATTCTCTTGTCCCTTAGTCGAACCAAATGGCCTCGGAGTTTGTTTGTTTGTTTGGGTTTTTTTTTTTGAATGGATTAGAGAGGGGTATAATAAAAGTCATTCGGCACTTACAATCACCCCTTAAGAGATCTAAATTCTCAATACATGAATTAAACACCCCTAAACTAATGGCATCACTTCTGAACTGCTCCTGAATAATTTTAAATGTCTTTGCATCGTTCTTGACGAAGCTCCATCGATGTATAGTCGTAAAAGTGATAAAACTTTATTGAAGTGGCCCCTAAGTTTATTTTACTATAATTTTGGAAATATTGTAAAACTGTGCAATCTGAATTAGTTAGATATATTTTCATAATATTAGTTTTTTTTTTCTTAGGAAAATAATATACATATCCCTTAAATTAGGACAACATATAAAGAGTTAAAAATGAAAAAATCTAGTGAAACTATAACATTTATTACACTGATTTGCGCGAAATTTTATCATATATCATTACCTTTTTTTTTTAAGTAAGCACTAAAATATTTTTATTTATGTTAATGGTTAAACATTAAGATTATTCCATAAGAAGCGAGTCATATTTCCATTATATCAATTGTTGCATACGTAGTACTCCCCCGTTACGTATTAATCGCAACATTTTCCTTTTACTTTTGTTTCATATTAACTACAACACTTCTATAATTTCTCTTTCCTACCATTATTTTATAATTTCTCTCTCCCATTAACCCCACTTTTACAAATATTTTATTATTTCTCTTTCCTACCAACCTCACGCACACTATTTTTTATTATTTATAAGCCTATAAGCCTAGTATATAATTCTCTTAAATTTTGAGCCAACCCTATTAATGCGAACAGAGAGTTACATAAATTAAAACATCCTCAATTCCTTTATTCTAGAAGTAAAAATTATTATTACTCCCTCATTTCATTTCAAGCCTGTTAATAGTCTCTACACCTTATCTTTCCCTTAAACAAAAGTATAAAGAAGACAACAAATTAAACAGAAGAAGTCGATTAAAGTCAATTGTGCATTGAATAATTTTGTTACAATTGTGTTCATAACAATCTTCACATTTGAATGAATTTTCTCTAGGTGTACCATGCCGTCAAAATAAATCCTAAGCTAAGATTTATGTCCTCTGATAAGCAGGATATTGTCAGGCCAACCTGCACCCAAATATTTAGGGAGGTGAAGGGAAAGACAAAATATGGCCCAACTACAATCATCAAACAAATAACTTCGGAACTGATATCCGCACCATTTGGTTTGCTATCCACACACCCCGAGTTCCAATTGGAGAGGAGTGTTTTGTGTAAAAATCGGAGTGCAAAACATAAATATTGGTGTGCAGAAATCATCACCTAAATAATAGAACAAAAATAGCTAAGCATCAATTGATACCTACAACTCTATCCCTATTTGACAGTTTGGACAGTACTGTAGGGCGAAAATCTATCAGGGAAACGAGGAGGTCCCTTCAAGTTTCCACCCCAGCAAAAATAGGTTCGCGTCCAAAGCATTGATCTTACATGAATCTTGCAGTTGGTAAGAAAATTATGCTCCAAGTTAGAATTCCAACCATTAATAGTAATGAAGAACTTTGAGAAAACATGCTACTTGTAGAATCTGAGCTCATTGAGTTCATAGATGGTGCAGTCGCATTGGGAAAGGTGCCATTGAGACCACCTGTACTTGATGTGCAATTGCCATGACCTGCAGCAGATTAAAAATACAGATTAGACATTAAAAGTAGAAAGTATGTTGAATATACAGTCTGCGGTTATAATCATACTTGGATCGGTGGTGGTGATTTCAGCCACACCATTGAAGTCACAAGATTCCGGAGCTTTGCCTGTGTTCTGATAATAAGTGTTGAAAGCATAAGTAGCATGAGAAAATACATTATCAGGCTCATAGCAAGGCTCGCCCTGCAATAATGGGGAGCAATCCACCTTTCCAGGTCCACAGGCCCAATCCAACGCCGCCTGTACCATCCTCTTGTCAGCTCCATCTCTTGCAGTACAGTAAGTTTGGTTTGTTGTATCATTAGACAAAACAGACCCAGACTCAGTGAGACGCAAGATATAGACTGGCTTCCCATTTGCATCGAATAATCCCCAATTTTTCTCTGAGGTGGCCCCATCCTTTGTATCCTCGTTATATAGTTCATAGATGTAAGTACTAACAGCGATTCCTGGATGTTTAGGTGTTCCTGTATTGTTGAGAATGTGCTTTATAAGATTGCTGTTGTAAGTGTTGGCATTCTCGAGAGTGGCATCGGGCTCTTTGGCATCTCCCTTGGATGGCCAGCCTGACTCAGTGACCATGATGGGGATGTTAGTGAAATTTAGATCAGCCATGGCAAAGTAAGCAGCATCCAACATGGCGTCAAAAACGTTTGTGTAATGGAGGAGTGTATTTGAATCAACAGCCTCTTTGTTTGCAGAAAGAGGTTGAAAAAGAGCATAATCTAATGGAATAACCCCATTAGAATTCATGTAATCATAGTAAGGATATATGTTGAGCATGAGATATGAATTAGTTGATTGCAAGAATTTAAGCAATGGTACCAGGACAGGGTTTAAAGAATGGTTAAAGAAGGCCTGGGAAGGTGGGAAAGAATCTAGGATAACCGAAGTAGAAAGAGGTGTAGAGACTTTGATTTTTCCATCAAGATTCGAGGCAACAAGTGCTGACTGGATAAATTTGAGGGCATTCACAAGGATAGGGGCAGCATTTGGGATTGTGCTTAAAACCTCAGAGCCAACACAAATTGCAGTAATGTTGGTTGCTGGATAATGGGCGACCACATTTTGTGAGACCCACCTGGCTGCAGTGGAGTTTGATTGACCAATACCAAGGATTTGATCATTAGGAATAGAGATTGCAACTTGTATACCAGTATTGGCAAGGGAAAGGAGCATTCCCCTGTCAGCATCATAGATGCGAACATGTCGAATATGCTGGGCTTTCAATAGAGCAACCACTTGAGTGGGGTGAGGCATGTCTGAGAGGTCTGTTCCTATATTAACTCCGATAAAAGCATCTGCAATGCAAAAAGAAACTGTATGAACATCTAGTGCATAAAAAATACGACGCAAGAGTTTGAATGGTTGATGGTGTTAATTAAGCAGCTTGAGATCAGGCATATATCAACAGCATTACCTAAAAACGGTTGATGATGTTAATTAATAAGAGCACATAGCTTGGAAGACCTAATAATCCTGATGCTTACACAGTTACAAGCGTAGTTATTCTAAATCAAACCATTTTGTAATGGCAGCAGACTACGGCCATGACATTCTCATGGTGCACAGCTATACACCCTCACATTGCTTGCTACAGGGTACTAAAATCTATAAACATAATTGTGCAGCAAAAGCTCTTTAAACTCAAAAGTTAGACACAATCAACCAAGGCAATGTCTCAAATATGTTATTTTTTTTGGCACTAAGTCATTTGACAGTATAACAACAGGACATTATCTCCACTAACAATCCAATGGCAAACATAATTAGACACGAGGGGTTAAATATCTACATTTAAACGTTCAAATGCTAACTAAAATCCTCAAAACCGAATCCTTCACTTTTCTCAAGAGTGCACATTCTCCAGTTTAATCAGCCTAAATAGCAATTTTTACAATAAATATCAGTAAGTCTTAACAAACTTCTCTAATCCCAAGCTAGAGGTCTTCTCCAAAACTACCCATCCACCTAAATTATTCTACGAATTCGGCATTCACGATTCCTCTAGTAGATAATAAGAATTAAATGATAAAAATGTATGCATAAAGAAGGCATTGCATCCATATGCTTCAGTTTTGTTGTGGTAATTCTCAGCCCATCAAAACCAATGCAATTACCATTTCTATAAAGTTTGCCTTGATTTTTTAATCTTTGACTCCTGTCATTAACGAGGTACACAGTCTTCAAATATGAAATAAGCAATTAACCCATGCTTTGATTTGATAAAACAACAACAATAACAGACAAATACAAGATTATGCAGTCACCATTTTTATAATTAAATTAATCATCTAATTCTCCCATTACAATAACTTAAGCAGCTTCTTAACAATATTATTAGCAGACATTAAATTAATATTATACTCTAGTACCCTTTAACTTCTTGTTTAATAAATCTTCTTGTTTAATAAATCATCTAATTCTCCCATTACAGCAACAATAGCTTAAGCAGCTTCTTAACAAGATTTTTTTTTGCAGATTTACATCATTACATTAAATTAATAATTTAGCCAATTTCTTACACATTAACCTTGTAAATTAAAAAAAATAATAATAATAATTATAAAATCAAATTAAAAAAAAAAAAAAAAAAAAAACACATTACCAGAATGACATTATTTTTGGCAACTACTCATATACATTTATGCCAAAGTTACATTAATTTCTGGGGCATCTATAAATTGCTCAAAATTAAATTTACACTTAAAATGGAAACAAGTATACACTATTTCACATTGCTTTTGAAAAAATTTGCTGAAAGCAGAAGAAAGTAAAGTACAAAACATTCAATGAGTTTTACTGTTTCTCAACTGCTACAGTACCACTCAAATTTCTTACAGCAGATAACATGCAATTACTGATTTACCCAAAGTGTAATACCTTCTGGAAAATCTCCTACCCACATTTTCAAAATGAACTCACAACAATTTTTTTTTAAAAGAAAAAGAAAAACTCATGTTCAAGCAAGTTTCAAAGTGAGTAAACAAAATTGTAAATTATGAACTGAACAAATGAAAAGAAAAAAAAAAACAGGTAAGGCATTTCTTGGGATAATTTTGATAAGTAGCAAAAAACCCAGAAAATTAAATATAAAAAAAAAATGGAAAAAATTATCCTCAGAAACAAAAACTAAGCAAAATTTGAAAAAGAAAAAATACCCAAATGTTAAAAGTTGAAGCAAATTTCTCACCTTGAGAAAAAACAGTAGAAAGAAACAAGAACAAGAGAGCAATGATATTAGCAGCAGCAGCCATTGTTGAGCTTGAAGAAGAGAGAGAAAGCTTTAGAGAGAGAAAGAGTTAAAGTAAGTAATTAGATTGGAAAAAGCACGGGATTATAAGAGGGAGGGGAAGAAAGAAAAAATGAGGAAATGATGTAAGTTTGATTTTGATGACAGAAAGATCGGACGGTAGAGAAATTATGAGCAGTGAACAGTACACAAGTTGGGGAGAATACAAATTACAAAGGCAGTTTTGTTGTATGTCAGTGTGTAGCCGTTGCTCAGGTTTTTTCGAGTTGTTCACACAAAAGGGTTGTTTTTTATTTGGTGTTTGTATTTGGATTTTCTTGGGTCGATTGGGTGCAACAAAGATTGTGGCGTTGTGCACGGGACTCGATCTCGAGTTAAAATGTCGGGTGAATGTAAGAAAAAAGTGAATGAAGATAATACTTCGTTCGTTTCATAAAAATTGCAGTATTTACTACTTATATTTTAACAAGTTAAAAATTATTTTAGCAAAGTTAAAAGTAGTTATCCAAAATTGTTAAATAGTTACCCTCATAATGGGTGATATACAATAAGATTATTTGAGTAACCAATTTTATGATAGTTATATTTTGAAACTAATGTAAAAGTCGATAGTATGAAACTTTATATTTATACTTATTTAACAATATATTTCAGGATAAAATAAAAATAATTATACTTTTATTAAAATAAATAAATAATAGTCAAAATTAGTATATAAAAAGTAAAGAAAAGTCAAACGTGCTAATTACTTAGAAACGGACGGGGTATGATCAACATCATCTAATTTAAAGTTTTTGGGTGGTTGATAACATTTGAACATATAACCTTTATGTCATGTCAGTTCTTATTACCATTTCAAATAACTAATTTAATCAAAAATGTAAACTAAAAATGGGTTGAATCAGTTAATTCTATTAAGTAGAGTATCATCATTGATTTTAAGGTTCCATTTGTGAGCTTTTATCTAACTAATACGGTGATTCCCTAAAAAAAAAATTCTAACTAATACGGTAGAGGTGTGTGTCGTAGTGTAGTACTATGAATCAATTGTGTGTAAAAAGGGTGAATATAAAAAGAAGGGAACAGAGAAAGAGAGAACAATGGAGTAGGACCCCCCCTTTTATGTAAAGAGACAGCAAACGGGACGTAATAACGTAATATGTGTACTTTTCGATTTGTATATTTTATTTTATTATTTTATTTTTTTGCCAACAGAATATATGCGAAACTTGTAAGCCTAATTAATTCAACGGTCATATAAGTTTGTTTAGGGAATTTCTAATTTTAATTAATCGTAGTGATACTATTTTTTCCCTAAATTCAATATTCCATCCAACTTTTAAATAAAAGCTTCATTTTCCTTAAAAAAAATAAAAAATTAACATATTTGACATCGTGTTTTTTTTTTTTCAGTTTTCGTTTTTTTGAAAATAAAAAACCAAAAACAGAAAACAAGAAAACATGTTTCCACTTTTCTGTTGTCAGTTTTCAAATTTACAATGAGTTTTATAAATTAGACTTAATTTTTTATTCATTATATGACATATATAATATGATTTGAAAAAAAAAACAAAAAACCCCAAAAAAACAAAAAAACCACAGTGATGCCGAACGAATTCATTTTGTTTTCCTAAAATAAATAATAAAAAAATAAAAAAAATAAAAATAAAAGTTTCATTTTGTCTTAACAATTGAACGAAGGTTAATAAGAAGGTGAATAACAATAAAAAAAAATAAAAAAATATATATACACCCGGATGTAAGGTGTATCCAAGGGTATTTTCAACTCATTTAATTTTTTGTTCATTTTATAACGTTAAATTGAGGATAAAAAAAATGTCAAATGAGAAGAAAAATACTACCATTGGATGCAATTACCTCTATGTGCACTCGGGTGTATATAAGAGGTGCTGGAGTTGTTGGATTGAAATTATAATTTGTATATAAATATAAAATTAAAATTTATGGAATCTATACTAATCTCTTAAAAGGCGTTTCTAAGAATGTATATGTGCCATGTAGTGACGTAGACTTTTTCACTTACTCCACGTCACTTACTCAACCTCTAATTATGCCACGTCACCACTCAATCAACCTTAAATGATTATGCCACGTCATTATTACTCCATAAAAGACCACGTCACCACTCAATCGACCTTAAATCATTATGCCACTTCATATAAAAATATAAGGCTGAGGAGATTCGAACACCTAACCTCTTGTAGGAAAGATGGTTATTTAACTCGTAATTTCTATCTTACTCCTGGAGTACCATGCACAAGGTACTCCAGGTTTCTAAAATTCATGTTATTTTGATGTGAACTTCTTATTATTTCAATTTATATATATGTATTTTTTTTTTTTGAAACCTATACATATGTAATTTTAAAATAAGTACATGTTATTTTATACTTGCATGCTATTTTTCTATGTTCAACATCAATCATTTCACTGTACTCCAGGGTTTATAAAATTCATGTTATTTTGATGTGAACTTCTTATTATTTAACTTTATATATATGTTATTTTAAAATAATTACATGTTATTTTATACATGCATACTATTTTTTATACATAATGTAGAAGTAAACAAGTAAATAACATATTGTTTTAGCAAAATAACACAAGATTTAAGCAAAATAACATAAGGTTTGGGCAAAATAACTCAAGCATATTGGATATGGAGTACCATGATCCAAGAGTATAAAATACTAACTCTATTTAGCCATCTAAGCCAATTAGCAACCATGTTAAAAATATATGAAAATAAATGTATATCATTGCAAATCGCAAGGACTAATAAAAAAAAAAGGGAAAAAAGACACTAAAAAGATTAAATAAATATAAACAAAAGGTTTAATTCAAGTAGCAATCAAGTGCAACGCCCGAGCCACACACTAGTTTGGTTGATTAAAAGGTGAATACAACAATAAATCAAAAACTCTTATACTTCCTCCGTTCCAAATTAGATGACACGTTTTGACTTTTGACACTATTCATTAACTTTGCTTTGGCTAACATTTGTGATTTATAGGTATATTAAAAACATAGTCATGTAGAATATTTTTAGATTCATTTCAATGTATACTTAATTAAATTTTATTTTTTGGTATTTTTTTTTACAATAATATAATTAAAGATATATTTAGTTGAACTTTTGCATTGACAAACGGGATAAAAGAAACGTGTCATCTAAATTGGAACATAGAAAGTATACGGCTAGCCACGTGGTATGGTCACTTCACATATAAGGTAATTAATTGAGTAATAGGGGTTACCACGATAAACAAATGGAGTTAGCTTATGGATGAAAGGTTAACTCTAATGGGGAAATGAGGTTACTTTCATAAATAAGTGAATTTGTTCTTTTATTAGTTGAAAGATTTAAAACAAAAGAATAAAGGTTTTTTTTTTTTTTGGTTTTTACAGGAAGTAATAATATCATTAATGAATAGACATACGACATCTACAATAATAATAAAAATTTGTAAACCACAAATTTGTTGAAATTAATATAACTCTTACAATCATAATCATAACTAATTTGCATATTTGGTATAGGTCACACTCCACCGCTTTAAACTTGACGCGAGTAGTGGTTTTCGATGTCTTTCTATCTTTCCAAGTAAAGACCTTCGCAATCTACGCTGATGTTTTGATCGTAGAGTTGATGGCAAACCCTAAATCCATATGAATCCAAATCGCCTTCCCAATTATTATCAAAACCCTAAAAATAAATTTTTTATCCATAGATAAGAATCAAAATCCCAGAAAATTGGAAAAAACCCAAAGAAATTGAGACAGACTCTCACAAATGGAGAGAACAAAGCAAAGCAGAATAAAACATAAGGCAAACCAAGCAAAAAACTGAATTAAATTAAAGAAAAAGGGTCTGAATTAGTCTAACTTCCGAATAAATTAGACTATTTCCGGCCTAAACGGCCAAGAAAACTAAAACCTTAGAAGAGAGAGGATGGGGGAGAGAGAAAAGGGACTATAAAAGGTGTTTCTTGGTTACTTCAAAAGTTGAGTGGGAGCTTTGGTTGCCACAAGATTGGATTGAGTCTACCTTTTAATTAGTAATGTGTCATGGCCTCTTGAGGAGGGAGAATTGAGAAAATGCATGGCCGTGCTCAAATGGATTACATAGTAATAATTTGTTTTTGCAATTCTAACTCAGTTTTCAAGAAATGATTTGTAGATTAATATGATCTCGACATGAGATGCAATCGCATTATCAAATCGACACATATTGACTTAAGGAATTTGAATATTGCACACTTGTCTCAGACAAGTGGGAGATTGAAGGATTTATGTCTTCGTCAAGTGCAATTACTAGATATATCAAGGATCATTATTATGGAGATAATTAGTTCATTCTTTTGGGTCGTCATTGTCTGTTGCTAGATATAATAAATGATCTTTGGGCTAGTCAAATAGTCCAAACCCAATAGAATGGATCCTGTTTCGGGGTTTTCTGTGTCCCTCGGGAGAGTTACGTCACTAAGACTGGATTCCAGGCGCTTGTATCTGCAAAACAACGGAGACTCCGGTTGGGTGGAGTTCCGCCTCCGACGATCAAGTTAGAACGTGTTCGGAAGATGTAAAAAGTGCGGAAAGTAAAGTGGTATCTTCCCGGATTCCGAGATCGAGAATATTCTCTTAGGTGAGAATTAATTATCAGCAATCATTGACTGCTCTTGTTTTTCCGTGTTTCATGCCTCTCGTCTCTAGGTGGGAACATCTCCCTATTTATAGAGTCTTGGGATTCGTGTGACTATCCTGGGTTACGGAAACCTAGGATTGATGGGCTTTTCTCGGGAATTGGGCTTTGAAGGCCGTCGTTTTCCCTTGCTGAATTCGAGTGCCACGTGTCAACTGGTGAGTGGTCTTTATTGGGCCTGTCATGAGGTGACACGTGTCCCATTCTTATTGGGCCACGTGACATGGGTATTTTTACGAAAATCATTTGCCCCTCACAGGGGTGACGTGGCGTGCCACGTGACACCTGTGACAAGTGTCACATGCAGACGGGTGAACGGTGTTTAACGGTTCACCTTCTGGGGAAGTTAGGGAGATGCCCCTATTTCCAACCCCTCTATAACTAAGGTTCCCCCTCCTTCCCTTCTCATTTTGGAACCTTTCTAAAAAAAACTTAGAGAGAGAAAGAGAAGATTTTAGAGAGGGAGACCCTGATTCCGTCTGCATTTGCCTTCATAAGATTTCCTGTTATTTCCGCTTGACACAGCCGGTCTACCGTCTGTGCAGCTCGCAAACAAGAGAACCTCTGAACCGCCTAGGTATCTTCCAAACAACTGCCTCCTTTTTCAGCTAGATACAGCCGGCCTACCGTCTGTGCATTTCACAAACAGGAGAACATCTGAACCGCCTGGGTACTTTCGAGAATTCCCCTGCTTTCCAAGTGGGTACATCCGGTCATCTTCTTGTGCACCCAGCAAACAGAACTTCCGAGAACCGTCTGGGTACGTTTCCAA